CAGGACTAGAGGCTTTCAGAGAACAATGAACAGCCAATTCTTTAATCTGTGCCAGGAAATGAGCTTATGGAGATATTTCCTACCATTTCATGTTCAGTTTTGGATACACACTGTCTAAATGCACAAATCAAAATGTGCCAGGTTTGGTGAACTGGAGCACAGCAGGTATAATTTAATTGTGTGCTCAATTTTATAGTCTATTTTTGGAAGACACACACACAAAAAAAACACACACACACACACACACAAAAAAAAACACCCTAAGTAAATATGAGCATAGATATAGAGTAAACATCCTGTGATATGTCTATCCCATCACTTAATTATGAGCCTCTTAGCACAGCTTCATCTTTGTCAGCCTTGAAACCCTGAATTTCATTCTGTCAGCTACAGTTTTCTTTCCTTTTTAATTAAGTTTACTTTTCAATTTAGAACTGATCACACTGACAGATGCTTTAATTCACTTGGAAGTTCACATTTCACTTTGTGTTTATCTTCTTCTTGCTTCTGGGAACTGGTACATAAAAAAAAAAAAAAATGTCCAGGGATGAATGAAGCACACAAAAATGCTTGGGGGATACCAATGAATTAGACTAGTTTGGGAATTATTTCCCTGCAGTCACCAGCTTTCACTTACTACTATCATCACTGTCACTTTCTTTAGTGCCATATGTTATATTGGAATCTCTATTTGCTTTATTATAAATCCTAACTAAATATAAGCATAGATGCAGAGTAAACATCCTGTGATGTGTCTACCCCTGCCAATAGATACCATTATGCCCACTTTACAGACCAGTACTTGGAGGCAAACAGAATTTCCATCCCTGGAAAGGGGGTGAAGGGAAAGTACTGGAGGTAGCAGATCAATTTCTCTCTCACGTTAATGTTTCTTTCTCTCCTTCTCCCCTTCTCCCTTCCACTTGCTCTAAAAAAGCAAAAATACATACATAAATAACATACATGCATAAACACATAAGCAAACAAACAAATAAATAAATAACATAAATAAATGAATAACATAAATAACATAAATAACATAAATAGCATAAAGTCAATGAAAGCATATCCTCTGGTGATGATTTAAAAAACAACAACACACATATAAAAAAAGCCTCTCTAAAGGAAAATAAGTGGAAGAATAGACATAAATTTTATACCAGTAATTTGCAACAGAAAAGAATAACTTAGAATATAGTTCAGTAAAAATGTAATTTTAAAGACAAAAATGATAAAATGTACAATCACATAAAAAATATTTCAGAGCTAAGGGTTCAAACAAAAATAGGACTAATAAATAAATTAGATATAACAAGGGACAGAATAGACATGAATGAAAAATTGGATATCATAAATAGAAAAGTTTTGAGACAATTTTGGTAGATGCAGTGGGAAAAAAAGACAGCTCTTAGTGCAAATAGAGATATAATTTGATTACATAATAGACATGAACAGCAAGGATGACCAGACTTGGACATGGCATTCTCTCTGAAGAATAGCCAAAACATAAAGAACAGAACATTTTCATATGTAATAGAAAAATCTTTCCAGTCACTTAAATATCCTGTTTAAATTACTAAATGTCAAGTAAAATGAAATGTTTTTATGTACATTAATGCAAAATAAGTCAATAAGGAGATGACTTATAAGTATGAGGAGGTTTAGATAAAATAAATCCAAAAGACATAGAAAAACATTTAATATGAGCAAAGTTTGAGCATACAATGCTAGCAAACATTGCAGAACTGGCTATAACATTCTGAAGAAAAAAAGGATGTTACTAAAAAGACAAGAATGGTTCTAGGCCAGCAGCTCTCAAAGAGTGGTCAAGTGTCTCTTTGTAAGATACCTGAAATTATTTTGGTGTGTCCTCCTGGCCAAAATCCTTTTCATAATAGTACTGAGACAATATTTGTCTCCCTTGTCTCTGAAGTTTAAAAAAAAATGACAGTTATCTCCAGACCAAATAAAAGGTGGAAGAACTGATTTGAATAAGCAGAGAAGAAAGATGAGAAGTAGGAGGAGGAAGAGGAAAAAGGAACAAGGTGGAGAAAGAGATTATCAGTGTAGATAGTACATTTAGAGAGAATTGCAGCATTGAAGAGATAAAAAATGATTCTGGGGGAATAAAGCTGTTGGCATGGCTTCTACAGAGCATATGAAATTATCTTATATTCTAAATAAAGTAGAATAGTCTAAATAAGAGGAGAAGAGGGTAAAAAGAAAGTAAAGGAGTAAAGACAGGATGAGTTGAAAGGAAAGAAAATGGTGACTTGTGCCCTATCTTAAACTCCTTGCATCCAGATTTCAGTCTCATGAGAAATTTCCTTTCAGTACAACCCCAGGAGCTCTGAGCAAATTGCATCAACACTAAAGTATTTAAATTTTACTAAACCTTTTTATGCTTAGAGGCATCTCACATATCCAGTATCCATAGCAATTAGGCTAGGTGCTGTTTCCAAGGAAGTGGTCCTGATAATGAACATGGGACTGTAGGCTGGAAATGTCACCTGACCAGGAGCTCATTTAATTTCAGACCTAATATTTAAATGGTGAATCCATAGTATTGTCTTTATTCTGAATGAAGTCCATTGGTGTTTAACATTTAATACTGTAACTGTAATTATCTCTTTTAATAAGTGAAATCCCAGAAAGTCAGGGATACAAAACAAATTGTCCAAGCCACATCACTGGTACATGAGAAAAAAGTTTTGAACACAGGTATGTGAGGCTACAAAGCCTTGAACACTCTGATCTACTACCACAATGTGCACACACACAGGCACACACATACACCACAAATACTTTCTTTTTAAATGAGGCATCTGTTTTCACATTGACATCTACAACTTGATATAATCATTCTCAGAAGTGTGTTTTGGAGATCCCCTTTCTTTTATTAAGCCGATTATTTTAATTATATTTTTCTGTGGGAAGAGTAATTTCTCATGTTCAGTGGCAAAATCCAAACTTAGTTGTGAGTCAAGAGGAGCAATACAAAATGCTGATATCTGGTGTTGTATACTTCAGCAAATACCACACTAGAGATTTCTATTTAGAACACCTTCATCTGCTCCTGCTCCTGTGGGTAATCAAATTAATGTGTGTGTGTGTGTGTGTGTGTGTGTGTGTGTGTGTGTGTGTGTGTTGTGGATTTTCACACTTATATATCCTGCTAGTGGGGCCTGATGCACGAAATTCATGTGGTAGGGGTGGTGTCCCTCAGCCTGGCCTGCTCCCACTCCAATCTGGGACCCCTTGAAGGATGTTCTACTGCCAGCTAACAGGGATTGGGTCTAAACCGGCAGTTGGACATCCCTCTCACAATCCGGGACTGCTAGCTCCTAAACTGCTCACCTAACTGCCTGGTTGCCCCTAACCACAATGTCTGCAGACCTGCTCACCTCCTAAAGCTCCCCTGCCAGCCTAATTACACTCAACTGTTCCCCATGTCAGTGTGTTTGCCCCCAAATGCTTTCCCTGCTGGCCTGCTCACTCCAACTGTCTCCCCGCACTGTCCTGATCACCTCCAACTGACCCCCCCCTTGCTGGTCTGCTTACCCCCAAGGGCCCTGCCCCCAACCAGCCTGATCACCCCACAAATGTCCTCCCTTCTTGGCCTCTAACCACCTCTACCTCAGCTCCACTGCCATGGCTTTATGCAGAAGAATGTCTAGATTTGTCTCCCAGTCTAATTAGCATATTACCCTTTTATTAGTATAGATTGAGGCCATGTACACTGGTTGGGGCTAGCTGGTTTGTCCCGAAGGGTGTCTCAAATCAGGGTGGGGGTCCTGCTGAGGTGCCTGGCCAGCCTGGGTGAGGGGCTGAGGTCTGTTTTCAGGATGGCCATACCCACTTCAGGGTGGAGGTTCCTGCTGGAGTGCCTGGTCAACCTGAGTGAGGGACTGATGGATGTTTGCATGCTGGTCAAGCTCTCCAGTGGGGACCCTCACCACATGGGGATGTGGCCAGGCTAGGTGAGGGGCTGAGGGCTATTCTCAGGCTGGCCACACCCCCTTCAGGGTGGGGGTCCCGGCTAGGGACTGTTTGCAGGCTAGCCATGCCCCCTGGTGATCGAGGCTCCCAGTCCCTCCTTTTTCTTCTTTTTCTTCTTTTTTCTCAGCTCCTCCTTGAGTGGAATCCAGGGCTGGCTGGAAGCAGGTATCTGGGATTTATTTATCTTCTATAATTGAAACTTTGTTACCTTGAGTGGAGGCCAGGGCTGGCCAGGATGGACAGAAAACTTGGCTTCCTCTATTGCCAGGAGAAACCTAAACATCCTGCTTGCTCCAGCTCTGTGGCTGCTTCCATCTTTGTTGGGTTAATTTGCATATCTGCTTCTGATTGGCTGGTGGGTGTAATGGAGTGATGGTCAGTTTGAATGTTCTTCTTTTATTAGTGTAGATGATATCTGTGGGTGAGGTACCTGATATTCAAGCCATTCAATAGCCAACACTATTTATTCATAAACACTTTATATTATTTTTAAGTTGTATTTTATTTTAGAAAATCATTAACATATAATCATGCCTATACTGTTCCATCATAGAATCCTTTCAGTTGATAGTCTGAGTAATATTAACTCTAGAATTGAAAAACATATTTTAAAAAACTGTACTATATAGGCAGTTAACTTGAATAATCTCTCATAATTTCTTTCAAGAAAAATAATCAGGTAAACTTAATCAAGACTCATTGACTTTTTCATGATGAACATCTTCAACTTTGATACACTTCTCTACATGGAGTCACCAAGTCCATATTGAAGTTCTGCGTCAACAATCACGTCTTTGTAAAAGTTAATTTAAGTAAAAGTCTCACCTGGCTTCATTATTTTTAACAGTGTATCTTTATTTACTGTAGCTCATTTTAAGGAATCTGTGCCTAAGTCCCACCATCCTGCCTCATCATTTTCAAGCAAATAACCGAAACCAAAATATTGTGCGTTTCTCACAACACAATGCATTGGCAGAAGAGACTGGCCATTCAGCTTTTATAAGTTTCTCATTACTCAGGATGTCACTCGTGTTTTATATAGTCCTACTGACTTATCAATGGAGTACTTTCTAAGACTTGCCTTTGAGCTTCTGAACACATTTAAAGACGTTAAGAAAATTGGAACATGTTCTTAATGTCTGTTTGCCTGTATATACTCATTCTACATTTTTACAATGAGATTAAGTACTTTCTAACATTAGATCACCACTCTCCTGTGCTCAGATGTCTAGAGAAACAGTGCATCACAGTGGTTATCTACAGAATTATTTCAGGAGAATTTAACAATAGGAGGAAAATCATTCACAAAGTCTCATCTAAAGCCATTCAGAATATTTTTCTAAACTTCCTTAGGATTTGTAAAAAATTGTGTTTTTTTTTTTTTTGTTTTTTTTTTTACAAATCCTAAGGAAGTTTAGAAAAATATTCTGGGGGGAAATGACATTTTTCTCTATGGCTACTATAGTTTAAGAAAGCTGTATTAGTTGGGGACATAGAAGGAAACACCTGGCATACCCAAATTAGCATAATTTGAGGTGGGTTCTTTGCACATACCTTAAATATAGCATTGTCATTCTGTAGCATGATTATTAGATCACTAGAAGCCCGGTGCACGAAATTTGTGCATGGGGTGGGAAGATGTCCCTCAGCCCAGCCTGCACCCTCTCCAATCTGGGACCCTTCAAGGGGTGTTAAACTGCCCTCTCACAATTGGACAGTCGGACATCCCTCTCACAATTCAGGACTGCTGGCTCCCAACTGCTCGCCTGCCAGCCTTCCTGATTGCCCCTAACTGCTCTGCCTGCCAGACAGATCTCCCTCTAACCACTCCCATGCCAGCCTGATTGATGTCTAACTGCTCCTCTGCCAGCTTGTTTGCCCCCAAATTCCTTCCTCTGCTGGCCTTTCCCTAACTGCCCTCCCCTGCAGGGTTGATTGCCTCCAACTGCCCTCCCTTGCAGACCTGGTCCCTCTCAACTGCCCTCCCTTATAGGCCTGGTCCCTCCCAACTGCCTTCCCCTGCTGGCCACCTTGTGGTAGCCATCTTGTGTCCACATGGGGGCCATCTTTGACCACATGGGGACAGCCATCTTATATGTTGGAGTGATGGTCAATCTGCATATTACTCTTTTATCAGATAGGATAGAGGCCTGCTGCATGGGAGGGGGCCAGCTTGTTTGCCCTGAAGGGTGTCCCAGATCAGGGTGGAGGTTTCCTTGTGGTATGGGATGGCCTGGGCGAGGGGCCTGTGGTGGTTTGCAGGCTGGACCCTCCCCTTAGGGACCCAAGCAGAGGCCCTGGTATCTGGAATTTATTAATTGAAACTTTGTAGCCTGGAGCTGAGCCAAGCCTCCTGTTTGCTACATGGCTGCCACCATTTCTGTTTGGATTTGTTTACCTTCTATAAATGAAACTTTGTATCCTGGAGGCCTAGGCCAGCCAGGGTGTGTGGAAAGCTTGGCTTCCTCTATTACCAGGGAAACGCAAGCTTCTCAACTATTCTCTGTGGCCGCAGCCATCTTGGTGGGGTTAATTTCCATAATTGCTCTGATTTGCTGTTGGGCGTGCCTGGTGGGCATGGCTTGAGTGGAGTGATGGTTAATTTGCATATTACTCTTTTATTAGGTAGGATATCAATTTCCTCATTTAGGACTCTGTATCAGTTAGAGAAAAAAATAATATTTCAGTTATGTAGGTATACCCAGAATCCAGAGTTCTTGGTTTTGAGAACTTCTTGTTATTGAGATAGATTAGAATTCTCTGTGTTTGTGTTTTTAATTAATTAAAGAGCAATCAACATACAAATCAGTGGATATATCAGAATTGTGAAGGAAATTTTCAAACAGTAAAGCATCTAGAAAACGTTATTTCTTTTCTTTAGGTATATTAATGTCCAACAGGAGAGCAAGCTGTCCATCCTTGACAAATTATAGTAAGAAACAATAACAAATAGTAAAACAATTGGTAAGACTTATTGAATAGTTGGTTGTTTATTACATGACTTATATGAGTGTAATCCCTAATCACCATCCTATAAGGTAGGTGGCATTATTTCAATTTAACAGATAATAAACAAAGGCTGACTTTTGTTCAAATGCTCCTAGCTAGTATAGAGCCACTAAGCTTTGAACCTAAGCCATCAGATGCCCAAGTACTACAATAGATAAAACTTGGTACAAGGGAAGGATGTGTTTCATGGTTTGAATGAACTGCAAAATCAGAGTATGTGAAAGCTTTAGATGCATAGAGGAACTAAATGTCTGTGATGTATTCATTTCTTTTTGAGATGGGGGCAACACCACTGGGAAGAAAAGAAGGTGACCCAGGCAAATCCAGGACAAGGTTAATGACATATTCTAAGAAAGAATGAGCAATATTTGTTAGTAGTAGAGTTATATCTATGGGATGTTTGCATTGGGATGTATCTGGCTGCATAAATTACTTATAATAAGGAAGTCTATGAATTTATAAAACACAACTCCCTGAAAAAATGTAACTTTGAATATATTTTGCCCTTGCTGGTTTGGCTCAGTGGATATAGCATTGACCTACAGAAATATACAGTGGTTATGGATACATAAATTTGTGAATGTAATTTTTATTATTTAAAATTTTACATATGTCTCCTTTTTCATGAATATAAGTAATGCTTTTGAATTTTAAGTTTAAAAGGACATTTTAATTTTATATACATAATGATTCTTTCACATCATTGATGTTTATATCTTTTCCCCTCATCTTTCCTCTTTGAAATTGATAAACATAATTTTTAAAGAAAAGAAAAGAGGTTAAAATGAACATTTTGAGGATTCCTATTTTTTTTTAAGAAGTATTACAGCTTATGGCAAAAGACTGGTGTAAAACTGAAACAATGTTAAACTCTTCAGATTAACAGTATGCTTCAGTAACATGATCCAGGCCAAAGAATAACCAGAATCTCTTGAAATTGTACCCAAAAATAATCCTTTTTATAAAAATATATTTTATATGTCTTTTGGGAAATGCAATAAATATAAATTATTTGAAAGTTATTAATGTATTCATTACTATAGTTTTGCTTTTCTTTCTGACTTTTAGGAAATTTGTTGTCAAAGTCAATTAGCCTTGTGAGGTTCCAGTCAAGATGTTGGCATAGGTAAATGCTGTACTTGAATCCTTTCATGACCACATCAAAACAACAACTAAACTATGAAACAATGATCATTCAGAACCACCTGAAATGAGCTGAATGGAAGTCTTACAACAAAGGATATAATGAAGAAGCCACATTAAGATTGGTAGAAGGGGTGGAGACACAGTACAGGCTGGTCCTACACCCATATGTGGCAGTTTAAAATTGGGAGGGATATATTGGCTATGGAGGCCCTCTTGAGGAGAAAGGCCCTCACACCAGGCCCCCGATCCTAGGGTCCCAATTCTGGGAAGGAAAGTAAACATAACTGCTATCAGTAAAAACCAGCATAAAGTGTGTCTAAGTGATGCACAGGCTCCTAGAGACCCAGGAATTTCCTCTTAAAGGGCCTGAGCATTGACTTACTCAGATTTGGTCCCTCTAAGTTCTAGCACTGGAGTAGCAGCTCAGAAAGGTGCCAGGGTCCTATGGGGAAGAACGGATTTGTCTGGCACCAGGGCAAGAACTCAAGGGAAGCTTTCTCCCAGAAAGAAGTGTTAACTCAGGCCACTGTTTCTTTTCTGAGATTTACCCCTAACAGAGTCAGCAAATGTGTACCTGAGTTTCCATCAACCTGGCTCATACTATTGGCCCTGCCCTGGTGATCCCCTGAAAGCTTGTACTATGCAACTTGTGGTCTGACCAAAGTTATTTTTCAGAGGCTTTCCCATTAAATGACCTACCTTGGTTCATACTTTGTGCTTTCCTAAAAGCCTCTTAATCAAGCAGAATTTGGCCTCACTATGGACCCTACCTCTTTTTTCTTTTAAATTTTTAAAAATATATTTTTATTGATTTTTTTACAGAGAGGAAGAGAGAGGGACAGAGTCAGAAACATCAATGAGAGAGAAACATCGATCAGCTGCCTCCTGCACACTCCCTACTGGGGATGTGCCCACAACCAAGGTACATGCTCCTTACCAGAACCGAACCTGGGACCTTTCAGTCCGCAGGCTCTATCCACTTAGCCAAACCGGTTTGGGCAACCCTACCTCTTTTTAAATGGCCACATGTTTAGCACTGGCTGCAGCCAGCCTTTGTTTGAAACTTGGCCTCTCCTACGTACATCCAAGCCCAGCACAAATTTACAGCAATCTGCAGATCATTTTGTAGCTCATTTCAGGTGGTCCTTGGCAGAGCCAGCACGCCCAGCAGAAAGTGTTAGACCACATTGAAGCACTGTCCAACCTCCTCTAAAAGGGACACACTCAAGAGGTGAACCCAGACTATTATTTTATGAAATTGTTTATATCTTGTTACATGATTTGTCTTCCTTGTAGGAATTAGTAACATTCACATCCTGCTGCCCCTATGACTCTTCTGGCTCTCTGGGTATAGCTTCTTGCTTTAAATTAAATTAAATCTCTCCTTGGTCATAAAACAAAATTAGAAGTTAGTGATTGTTTAAGATTATATTTTCTGTAGAGGTATAACATTAGCAATTCCTATTATACCCACTCATGGGTCTAGAGTAGATGTCTCCTAAGGTTCTTTGGGTTTTCATCTGGATTCATTAAGAAAATATTTCTATTTTTCAACACCACAAGGGAAACAGGATAAAGGATCTAGAATTGCCTCTTTTCTAATAAATCACAAATATATTTTCATTTTTCCTACTATCACTGTTGAATTTAGTCATAAGATAGGACAGACCATAGAATTGACTCTGCATATCTTATAGCATAATGACAGGCCATTCATTATGGCCTATTTATTACAGGCCGTTTTTATGGATCTAGGATGTAGCCAAAAGAACTGGAAAATGCAAAAAAGCAAAAAAAAAGTTCACTAGAGGTTAAATGACTCAGGCAGAACATAGGGACGACTTTGCCTACCATCTTTA